TTCGACATTGATGCTGACCTTCACTGTTCCACCGGACTCACTGAGCTGAAGGCACTCGGTCAAGTATACACACCATTTGGCAGGCTATCGCGTTACGTTGCAATGCTCGTAGTCGAACCTCTAGCCATTTAGTTGGAACACATCAGTATCTTGGCACGACCTCACAAACATACCATTGCATCCGACCACGTTATTGTGTTCTTTCTTGGTCTTGTATTCGTGGGTATATAACAAGTTCGAATAATTGGTGATTGGCCTCTGCGTCTATCAGGTTAGCACCAGGACAGTCATTAAAAGTTCATTCCGGAAATATTCTACGGTTTCTTACGCGAAAATGTGCCGAACGCTTACTGCCTACACGTCACATCTAACATAAAGGCAGTAGCTGCTTCCAAAAGCAGTTGGGAGTTGTGATAGCTCACCCGAATTCAAGGTTAAAAGGTTGGTGCCAGCAAAAATTTTGTGAAATGGTAGATGCGCCGTCCGCCAACTTCCAGAACCCCTTATGAACAATAGTCTACTTGGATTACTACACTACTACTACTACTACTACTACTACACTATCGACATCAGTGTCTTGTGTTTAACAACCGATTAACTTTGACAAGGTGGTATGGGTCCGGAACGTCACAAAAGCCTCAATACAGAAGATCTACCCCCAGCCTTTCAGGTTCACACATGTATAACTGATTAGTAAACTGCACATATATTTTGGGATTTGGCAAATCTAGCGTGAGGCTATTTGAGAATGAAACTACTCAGGATCCAACTTCAGAAAATTTCTGTGCAATGCATACGGAAGTTATTGATGAACTACCATGCTATTAGTTGTTGTCACTATTCGTCAACTGTAGAGGGTGAGTGGTACACTAACTCGTTCAAATTGCAGATGGGCTGATTAAATCCTCACCCGTCCTTACAAGCTAAAACGCTGTCATGTGATGCAAGTTAGCTACGGGTGTATTTTTAATACCAGACCTACGCGTTTTATAGTCAGGCTGTGGTATAATGCAGAGGTCACCTAACTCACATTAGGCCAATTGGTGTTTATAAGTATGCTGTGCTTCTGAGCATTTAACTACAAAGTACTTAAAAAATTTGGCAGTACTCTGCACGAACGCTATTCCTTTGCACTAAAAATTTAAATACGAAATGTTATTGATATATATATATATATATATATATATATATATATATATATATATGTCCGCACATGATGCTGTGCTAATGAGCGCAATTGCTCAAAGCATAGCAAAATCCGGGGTAACATACACCAATTTTACACACATTTCGGTCCTTCACAACTTCATGTGTACACACCTTCCGGACTAGTTCAGTTATATACATAAGAAGCATACTGGTGTGACGTGTGATACCTTTTACTAATGTACGTTCACGCCACGTCTTACTTTGACCTACAAGTCTGATATCTAAGCTCCTTGGTTGAAGATTATTTCTGAAAACCTACGTTTTATAGTCTTGTTTCCCATAGAATGGCTTCCACTCCGTGTGTAATTCTGAGACCCAATAGGCACGACCTGAGGGATAATTTCGATCAGAGGAGTAATCACTAGACGGAAGTTCCGAAGGATTACGTGTCGTGAGTATTCTATCAGGCAGGACTTTACTTTGACTACTTCCTGATGACGTCTAAAGTGCTTGAGTGTTGAGATAGTCAGTCTGTGAGGTCTCGTGGTGAAGTGACAAGCTGTCAAGTTTAATTAGGTCTGGTTGTGCATCATGGCGTTCTGGGGGAGAGTTTGAATATCCCATGAGCGGTCACAAAATGAGTTAGGATCGAAAGTGGTTCTACTGACCTTCAGTTTCTATCTATCACTTTTAGAGAAGTGGTAAAAAGTATTGAGGACGTTCTGAGTATCTGTGATATAACTGCTCCCTCTTTTTTCATTATTCCGCTGCTTATTTTTCTCTACATCAGCACAAACCCGGCATATTAGTTAATGTACGTACTTTTGTTTCCGATTTCTTAACAGGACTGAGCTAAAATAAATGAACTATAAATATTATAATAACAGTTAAAAACTTACTACCCATTAATAATTGTCTCCGGATACTTACACGGCCACACCTAATTAGCACTACATATATATGTTATGGTGAATATTTGCGTCCCACCACACACTCTTTGACATTTTTAAGTTAGTTTCTTAACCACCAAGCCAGTATCTTCTACCAGCGAGAAATTTGTCGGTTCAATCACTTCTTCAAGGCGGCAAACGTCATTTGATTTTGGTAGTTGAACTGCATATATTTCTCTTCCTCCATGGTATGTCATACATAGGAATCACACAGTGGAATTGATAATTCACAATAGTGACGAATGAATGAATGGACGAAAAATGTTCACTAGACAACTACAGCCGTCATCATTGGAGGGCGTTTGTGGAGTTCAAATGATTTTGTGAAATAAACATATCAAACATAAGGCCCTGAGAAAGACAGGTAAGACATCAAAATTTAGTGAGAGCTGTTTATTAAGATGCCCTCCTCATTTATAGCATTATTAATTACACAGGACCTAAAAGAGGTCGCATCTTATTTCATCGTTGACATCATCAAGCAGCTTCTTGTGTTGTTTCTGAACCTCCCCCCATTATTTCCTGAAGAGGGGAATTGTTTTCGAGAAACATCTACCACAGTAAACAATACTGTTTTGGGATGTTTAGTTGTCAGTTTGTTTCTACGATACAGGGGCTTAAAATAAGTACTTGCCGTCAGACAAAAATATTCCATCATAAACTGAAGCTGACTAAATTCCTGTCTCTCAAAATTATTTCCCATCACTATTTTTCACAATGTGAAGCACTGACGTCTGAGACTTGATAGATAGCGTGCATGGTGACACTGTTTTCTACACTTGAATATTTACCAGAGAAAAAGTATTCAGTCAGGCGGAAATTGAATACACGACTATGTTTTCAGAAGAATACTCATCACTGCATAAAAGGAAGTCTTGAATGAAGTATGCTCACTCACTGTGTAAAATTCCCCTAGTTGTATGCATGTCATTACATGAAGCTTCCCATTGGAAAACGCTTTTAGAAATAATAAGGCAGTGATGCATCTATCAAAGGAAACAAGATCGAGTGCACTGGCAGAAAATTTATGGATACAGATACAAACAAGGGAGACTAGAACATAACGTTTAACTGATTATTTATGTGTGGCAATAGTAAACAAGAGGTTCGGTGTCTTCGTGTATAATAATATGGTTAATAACGTTTGTTAATGAATAAAACAGGAGTTTGAAGCGCCGACCGACTTCCATGCTCTAGATAGTAAGTGTATGAGATTAACTCAGTGCACAGAACGCAAAATTAACACTGAAGTTCACCTTCAGATTTAGGCATGTTTTCCTCCAGCTTTTGTGCTTCACTATCCGTGGCCTTTGACCTTTTGTGAATAAAAAATTAGGAATACACACGTACTTTTTAAAGGAGGAAAATGGGTTGTGAAACCCAGATCTGGAACGAGCTGAGCTACCAGAAAACAGGCTGTCTGTGTTGTTATGCGGATGTCCAGCACGTATCAGCATATGTTGTAAAATTATCTAACAGAGTCAGACGGAAACTTATATCCAACCTGAGTTTCAGAGCTAATCTCACCAACATGTGGAGCATGAGATTCAGAGCACGCCCTGCACCTTTCTCGGCCCGTGTTTTCTGAATACTCATACGCCGTCTGCTTAGTGGTTTCTGGTGTATTGAGAGAAGGTGTAAATGCAGAAAAGGTATGGCCCTTCGTATCAACATAAAGCTTGCGTTCGGCCAGGTACCTTAAGTGCTTTTTGTCGGATTCAGAGATTGATTTTAAATCATCCTGAAATACTATCTTATCGAATCACAAATAACTACCTCGGGTAAAGAATCTTTCAGTGTTTTGATACCAGGATCATCGATGAGATATGTTATCACAACGGATGAGATGAAGAGTAAAACGGACACAATGGGAACCACAATATTGGGGATGAATAAACTTTTATCCATATCCTCAATATGTAAGGTTGCATTTGGAGTTGTTAAGTTGTTATAATCTTCTGTTATCATGGTAACAACAGACAAAGACATTGCCATTCAAAGAAACACCCTGAAGACGTGAAAGTATGTGGTATAGTATAACAAAAGAATCCAGTCTTCAATGCTTAGGGAAGAGAAGTAGGTAAACATTAGTGGTTTTCGAACTATATATCTTAATATACACTGATTTCCTTTTTCTCGAAAAAATTCCCCTCTTCAGGAAATAATGGGGGGAGGTTCAGAAACAACACAAGAAGCTGCTTGATGATGTCAACGATGAAATAAGATGCGACCTCTTTTAGGTCCTGTGTAATTAATAATGCTATAAATGAGGAGGGCATCTTAATAAACAGCTCTCACTAAATTTTGATGTCTTACCTGTCTTTCTCAGGGCCTTATGTTTGATATGTTTATTTCACAAAATCATTTGAACTCCACAAACGCCCTCCAATGATGACGGCTGTAGTTGTCTAGTGAACATTTTTCGTCCCCTCAGATCTCAGAAATTTTGAAGGAGACAGTTCGAAACGTGTCTGGAGATTCGACACGAAAGATGATGACTAGCTTTTCGTATCTCAGTAGTGGAAATTGGCAAGTACCTTCATTTACTTTTCACCTATGCTACCATGGGGAAATTAGTGGTCTTATTTTGGCAGCGCATTTCGAAGAATATATCTGTGATTTGTATCTTAGGTCCTAACAGTCTTCCAAGAGTGGCTGTTTTAGAGATAATCACAGAAAGGTTAAAAGTGGGGCAAGGTATGCTCCTTGTAAAGACCACACTCTCATGCCGAGTGGTCAGCGACCAGAACTCACAGATTGGACAACTGGGAGAGGCACCTCCAGTAAGCACATTGAAAAGGGAAATCAGCGTATATTAAGATATATAGTTCGAAAACCACTAATGTTTACCTACTTCTCTTCCCTAAGCATTGAAGACTGGATTCTTTTGTTATACTATACCACATACTTTCACGTCTTCAGGGTGTTTCTTTGAATGGCAATGTCTTTGTCTGTTGTTACCATGATAACAGAAGATTATAACAACTTAACAACTCCAAATGCAACCTTACATATTGAGGATATGGATAAAAGTTTATTCATCCCCAATATTGTGGTTCCCATTGTGTCCGTTTTACTCTTCATCTCATCCGTTGTGATAACATATCTCATCGATGATCCTGGTATCAAAACACTGAAAGATTCTTTACCCGAGGTAGTTATTTGTGATTCGATAAGATAGTATTTCAGGATGATTTAAAATCAATCTCTGAATCCGACAAAAAGCACTTAAGGTACCTGGCCGAACGCAAGCTTTATGTTGATACGAAGGGCCATACCTTTTCTGCATTTACACCTTCTCTCAATACACCAGAAACCACTAAGCAGACGGCGTATGAGTATTCAGAAAACACGGGCCGAGAAAGGTGCAGGGCGTGCTCTGAATCTCATGCTCCACATGTTGGTGAGATTAGCTCTGAAACTCAGGTTGGATATAAGTTTCCGTCTGACTCTGTTAGATAATTTTACAACATATGCTGATACGTGCTGGACATCCGCATAACAACACAGACAGCCTGTTTTCTGGTAGCTCAGCTCGTTCCAGATCTGGGTTTCACAACCCATTTTCCTCCTTTAAAAAGTACGTGTGTATTCCTAATTTTTTATTCACAAAAGGTCAAAGGCCACGGATAGTGAAGCACAAAAGCTGGAGGAAAACATGCCTAAATCTGAAGGTGAACTTCAGTGTTAATTTTGCGTTCTGTGCACTGAGTTAATCTCATACACTTACTATCTAGAGCATGGAAGTCGGTCGGCGCTTCAAACTCCTGTTTTATTCATTAACAAACGTTATTAACCATATTATTATACACGAAGACACCGAACCTCTTGTTTACTATTGCCACACATAAATAATCAGTTAAACGTTATGTTCTAGTCTCCCTTGTTTGTATCTGTATCCATAAATTTTCTGCCAGTGCACTCGATCTTGTTTCCTTTGATAGATGCATCACTGCCTTATTATTTCTAAAAGCGTTTTCCAATGGGAAGCTTCATGTAATGACATGCATACAACTAGGGGAATTTTACACAGTGAGTGAGCATACTTCATTCAAGACTTCCTTTTATGCAGTGATGAGTATTCTTCTGAAAACATAGTCGTGTATTCAATTTCCGCCTGACTGAATACTTTTTCTCTGGTAAATATTCAAGTGTAGAAAACAGTGTCACCATGCACGCTATCTATCAAGTCTCAGACGTCAGTGCTTCACATTGTGAAAAATAGTGATGGGAAATAATTTTGAGAGACAGGAATTTAGTCAGCTTCAGTTTATGATGGAATATTTTTTGTCTGACGGCAAGTACTTATTTTAAGCCCCTGTATCGTAGAAACAAACTGACAACTAAACATCCCAAAACAGTATTGTTTACTGTGGTAGATGTTTCTCGAAAACAATTCCCCTCTTCAGGAAATAATGGGGGGAGGTTCAGAAACAACACAAGAAGCTGCTTGATGATGTCAACGATGAAATAAGATGCGACCTCTTTTAGGTCCTGTGTAATTAATAATGCTATAAATGAGGAGGGCATCTTAATAAACAGCTCTCACTAAATTTTGATGTCTTACCTGTCTTTCTCAGGGCCTTATGTTTGATATGTTTATTTCACAAAATCATTTGAACTCCACAAACGCCCTCCAATGATGACGGCTGTAGTTGTCTAGTGAACATTTTTCGTCCATTCATTCATTCGTCACTATTGTGAATTATCAATTCCACTGTGTGATTCCTATGTATGACATACCATGGAGGAAGAGAAATATATGCAGTTCAACTACCAAAATCAAATGACGTTTGCCGCCTTGAAGAAGTGATTGAACCGACAAATTTCTCGCTGGTAGAAGATACTGGCTTGGTGGTTAAGAAACTAACTTAAAAATGTCAAAGAGTGTGTGGTGGGACGCAAATATTCACCATAACATATATATGTAGTGCTAATTAGGTGTGGCCGTGTAAGTATCCGGAGACAATTATTAATGGGTAGTAAGTTTTTAACTGTTATTATAATATTTATAGTTCATTTATTTTAGCTCAGTCCTGTTAAGAAATCGGAAACAAAAGTACGTACATTAACTAATATGCCGGGTTTGTGCTGATGTAGAGAAAAATAAGCAGCGGAATAATGAAAAAAGAGGGAGCAGTTATATCACAGATACTCAGAACGTCCTCAATACTTTTTACCACTTCTCTAAAAGTGATAGATAGAAACTGAAGGTCAGTAGAACCACTTTCGATCCTAACTCATTTTGTGACCGCTCATGGGATATTCAAACTCTCCCCCAGAACGCCATGATGCACAACCAGACCTAATTAAACTTGACAGCTTGTCACTTCACCACGAGACCTCACAGACTGACTATCTCAACACTCAAGCACTTTAGACGTCATCAGGAAGTAGTCAAAGTAAAGTCCTGCCTGATAGAATACTCACGACACGTAATCCTTCGGAACTTCCGTCTAGTGATTACTCCTCTGATCGAAATTATCCCTCAGGTCGTGCCTATTGGGTCTCAGAATTACACACGGAGTGGAAGCCATTCTATGGGAAACAAGACTATAAAACGTAGGTTTTCAGAAATAATCTTCAACCAAGGAGCTTAGATATCAGACTTGTAGGTCAAAGTAAGACGTGGCGTGAACGTACATTAGTAAAAGGTATCACACGTCACACCAGTATGCTTCTTATGTATATAACTGAACTAGTCCGGAAGGTGTGTACACATGAAGTTGTGAAGGACCGAAATGTGTGTAAAATTGGTGTATGTTACCCCGGATTTTGCTATGCTTTGAGCAATTGCGCTCATTAGCACAGCATCATGTGCGGACATATATATATATATATATATATATATCAATAACATTTCGTATTTAAATTTTTAGTGCAAAGGAATAGCGTTCGTGCAGAGTACTGCCAAATTTTTTAAGTACTTTGTAGTTAAATGCTCAGAAGCACAGCATACTTATAAACACCAATTGGCCTAATGTGAGTTAGGTGACCTCTGCATTATACCACAGCCTGACTATAAAACGCGTAGGTCTGGTATTAAAAATACACCCGTAGCTAACTTGCATCACATGACAGCGTTTTAGCTTGTAAGGACGGGTGAGGATTTAATCAGCCCATCTGCAATTTGAACGAGTTAGTGTACCACTCACCCTCTACAGTTGACGAATAGTGACAACAACTAATAGCATGGTAGTTCATCAATAACTTCCGTATGCATTGCACAGAAATTTTCTGAAGTTGGATCCTGAGTAGTTTCATTCTCAAATAGCCTCACGCTAGATTTGCCAAATCCCAAAATATATGTGCAGTTTACTAATCAGTTATACATGTGTGAACCTGAAAGGCTGGGGGTAGATCTTCTGTATTGAGGCTTTTGTGACGTTCCGGACCCATACCACCTTGTCAAAGTTAATCGGTTGTTAAACACAAGACACTGATGTCGATAGTGTAGTAGTAGTAGTAGTAGTAGTAGTGTAGTAATCCAAGTAGACTATTGTTCATAAGGGGTTCTGGAAGTTGGTGGACGGCGCATCTACCATTTCACAAAATTTTTGCTGGCACCAACCTTTTAACCTCGAATTCGGGTGAGCTATCACAACTCCCAACTGCTTTTGGAAGCAGCTACTGCCTTTATGTTAGATGTGACGTGTAGGCAGTAAGCGTTCGGCACATTTTCGCGTAAGAAACCGTAGAATATTTCCGGAATGAACTTTTAATGACTGTCCTGGTGCTAACCTGATAGACGCAGAGGCCAATCACCAATTATTCGAACTTGTTATATACCCACGAATACAAGACCAAGAAAGAACACAATAACGTGGTCGGATGCAATGGTATGTTTGTGAGGTCGTGCCAAGATACTGATGTGTTCCAACTAAATGGCTAGAGGTTCGACTACGAGCATTGCAACGTAACGCGATAGCCTGCCAAATGGTGTGTATACTTGACCGAGTGCCTTCAGCTCAGTGAGTCCGGTGGAACAGTGAAGGTCAGCATCAATGTCGAATGTCGTCGAACCCTGAGCTATTGATTTTGAAGAAGTGTGACGCTACAGACTAACGTATGGCGATAAATTCCTGCAAGACCAATGATAGTTATCTTTAGTCGTTATTCACTGACGCATCTGGGTCTTCTGGGGGAAGTTATAGAGATTATATGTCCCAGTGGTCTGAAAATTTGTTGGATACGGCTCAGGACTGAGATCAATTGTATGAACGATCTCTCCCCTCCTCCCTCTACAATCTTTATAGCTTCCTTCTGTTGTGTTGTGTCACGGATTTTTTCCTATCTGTGCTGTAGTGGTCTTGGGACCTTAACAAACGAGAAGCTGCAAAGAGACCTTGAACGTAGCGTTTACTAGCAGAATGTTTCCTAATGCATCACTGTAATACTGACAGCAGCAAATGTATTCCTAAAAATCCCCATACGAACTTATCAACCCAGAACTGTGTATAACTAAGCCTAAATAAAAAGTGGGCCAAAAAAGAGTGATGATTAGCCAAAAGAAAGTGTTCCTTGGGTAAGCGCACGTTCATTTTTAGATTAGTAAATCAAGAAAAAGTTCAAAACATCACACCAGGGTCTCTTATGGAGGTCATCAATCATACATGTTGACGGCAGGATCAAAGCTGACTGTTATCGGCCCTAAATTCCGGTTTGAAGTTTGGGGATGTCAGGCTTAAGCCTCATCAATGATTTCTTTATCCGTAGCATGCATTTTGTGCACTTCGCCCGATTCCAGCCCACATTATTTCCGCATTCACAGTAAAATCCAAGCATTTTGCAACCAACCTTTACTGTTCACTATGTACATTAACTTCTGTCACTTGTTTTTCGCTATGTTCACAATTTAACATTCGACAGATTGTCTATAGATTACCCTAGAAACAAAACTGATGACTTCCATTGCGTGACAAAATGAAAACTGCGTTCACCTGCAGGTGAATGGCAAACTGTGGTTCAGATGCAGAGAAACAATGATCTCTACCTATTCTGATATTTTGGGACGTGCTAGAGATTATTTTCTCTCGATTTGGAACATTGAGTAGAGTGAAGCCACCATGAGCCTAGTGATTCTGTCTCTTCAAACGACATCCTAATGCTTTTGATGGTCATATTCCTCGTAGTCACTTACATTATGTGCCTAAATATCAGAATGAAGAGTAATAGTTCAATCTGTAGGTAACAGGAAATAAGCTGCTTCATTTCGCGTTATAGCATCTGTGTCACAGTCTACGTGTTAAGTGAAAGTGCAGAGAACAGTATATTGTTTCCTTCCCAATCGTTTCTCATCTATTAGAGGTGCCATTAACAGATGATAGTTTGACTAAAGCAAGAGTTTTGGGCGCCGGGCTCTCGAGTGGAATTCAAATGGGAAACGACAAGTTGGGCGTTTAAGGTGAGGTTGACATGGAGGAGATGGTGTGAGGAAGAAATGAGAGCTTGTGGGCAGTCGTGGTGCCAGGTTTTGAAGACTGCAGAGAAGATAGTGCAATGGGGCGTGCTACTGAAGCGGTATGTTCCACTAGGAACCCAAGGGAAAAATAATAATAAGTAATAAGACGTTTTGGGAATTTTACTTGCACCAAGTCAAGTGTATTTCTGGCCCTTTGTTTTGAGAAGATAAGGAAATTTTCTTCTGAGATTATTTTAGCACCGATGGACTTAGATCATGTTGGCTGGCATTTTAAATTGCTGAACATCTCTACTTTTTAGAACTAATACCTCCACGCACTCTGGTTGGTGCTAGCTGATTGGAGGCAGTCGAAATCAGGCCCAATTCTCAGTCTCATGCCAATTGGCATCTGTCTAACAGAGAATACTGTGTTCTCACAGAGATTCGGTCGTAGGCTGTTCAATGTTCCATTTTATCATCGGAGTTATGCGGGTGGACGTCTGATAGCCGTATGAAAAT